CCCAAAGACAATTTTATCTATTCCAAAGAAGGCACAATTGCTGACCCATAAACTAAGAGTTTTCCAGTTCGACAAAACAACCCTAATATTTTTCCTCTGTCCTTTCTTTACATGTACACCTGGTACCTCCTGAAGTTTCGCCTCTAGTATAATGTTAGTAATAGCATATGAAGGCTTTACATTTATTTAATTACTGTGTGAGAACTTTTATATCCAGGCTTCATTGAAATATATTGTGATCGATTCCCAAGTGCTTGCTACTGCAACAGCTGTACGTTTGCTGATGATGCTTTGTGACGTTGAGCTCTTATACCAGAGACAGCAGTTTATGTAATAACAACTTGAATTTAGAGAAGTGCAGTGAATTATGGTTCATCACTTTTCTCATTTTATAGATAATGAGAATGTTCTAGAAGCTCTAATTGCAGAAAACTCTGGGATGAAGGCTAAACTGAAAGACCTGGGAACACCACCAAGGTAATAAAAAAAGCTAAACAAGCTGCTGGGTTTTCTTTCTTGGTAAGATTTAAGTTGCTTTGTTTGTGCAGTGTGACTTACATGCATTTCAGGTCACTGTCAAAGGGAGGTGTCTCAAAACCTTGTACATCCTCTGACTCTGTGAAAGGACTGGAAGAAATGCGTGCTCAGTACATTAAAGCTGTGAGCAAGATTAAGTGTAAGTACTGAAGTCTTAGCTAAAAAGTTAGGAGAGCAAAATAATTTACTTTGTCACTTCCTCCTCCTTCAGCCAACTTGCACAGGAATCTGACAGCCAAATTGCATGAGAAGTAAATTTTTCCCTCTTACTAGAGTGGATGTGAAAAATGGAATTGTCACCATAATCTTAGACAAGATTAACTGCGATGGGTGAAGCCTTGTTATGCCACCCTTGTTTTGTCGCACTGTATTATGTCTTGTAAAGTAGTGAAGTGTATTTTGAGAACTGATCTTGTTTCTCCAGCAAACAATCCATCTACCCTGCAACTTGTTCTGAAAGAGAACCTCCTTTTCTCTTCTCCTATATCCTGCCATGTGTCTTGATCAGCAGCCTTCTGGATGAAGAGAGAGGGTTAAGTGTAGCACTGGGCCTTACTTGAATGCAGCAGGTTGCCAAAGCCAGCTACACTGCCACTGAAGAATTCCTAGATCCACATTTTACCAGCCAACATTCCTCCCAAATCCCTGTGCTTAGTGTTTGCTATTGCTGCTCAAGATGCAGAATCAGACAACTGAATTCCTGTCTGATGCTTCATATTGACCCAGTGTGGTCTTTGGTGGCATTAATCCAGTAGGCAACACTTGGCACAGGGATTTGGGTGGAATGTTGGCAGGTAAATTCAGGGTTTTGCTGACTTGCTCCAGGTCTGCTAGACAATCTCAGGTTGTGGTACTGGCTTTTTACCTCTCTGGGGGAAAACTGCTACTAATTAATTGTGTTTCTAGGTGATATGCTTTGTTATATCCGTGAAAGTAAGGAGCGAGCTGCTGAAATGATCAAAGGGGAGGTCTTAAGAGAGCGCCAAGAGACGGCAAGGAAAATGCACAAATGCTATTTGACATGCCTTCAAGAACTGCTTGCTGATAATGGGAAACATGAAGGGTACGTTAAAGTATGTTTGGAAATTACTGTTGGCTTTGAAAGAGGTGTGTCGGAGCAAATGGTGTCTGACCTAAAGTCTTGCCAGTCTGCTCATATTGGCATGGGGTCACTGCTGAGCAGTCTGGCATACTGTCTTTTCAGTCTTTGACTCTTGCCAATATTACCTTGAAGTAAAATGCAGAGTTGAAAAGGAATTACCCTTAAACTTTAATTTTTTTTTCATGTTCTGCAATTCTTGGCAGAGCTGAAAAGAAAATAATGAATGCTGCCAGCAAGCTTGCTACAATGGCTAAAGGACTTGAAATGCCTCTTCGACACATTCCCCAGAGCAAATCTACCCGGTCAGGTATGTTGGATTCTGTAGTTGTTCTCTTCTTGATATTATTGATTTAATGCATGTAGTAATGAAAATGCAGATGCAAAGTGAAGTACTATTTATTTATAAGCTTGCTAATGGAAATGTCAGTATAAGCTGCTTGTTTTGACAGCACTTATAATTCTTTATTAAAAACGAACAGAAGAACTTTATTTTCTGGCATTAATCTTTCTTTTAATTAATCTATTTCCTTCCCTCCTCTCATAGCTCTGCTGTTAAATTCTGATCTGCCACCTGGAGCTGAGTACACAAAAAGAGATCGCGTGCTTCAGGCTAGGTCAAACCATATGGAAAGCAAATCATGTGGCGAAAGCATTACCGAAAAAGCCGGTGATAAAGTTGTCCAGAAACGTGTACCACATGACTTGAGACAGCAGTTTGATGCAGTGCAGGCTGAAACTCAACATATGCTTCATGAAACAGTGACTTCAAATACTCAAAATTGGAATAATTCTAAAAATCTGGATGGTGCTTCAAGAGATGCTGTGCCAGAGTTTTATTCAAATGAAGATGGAAGAAGAGAAAAATATGGCCCCGTTGTAAATGCAGACAAAGGACTCCTGTGTGCTGCTAGTAATATAGCACATCAGAGTGCTTCTCCATCTGCTTTTCAAGTAATGTTAGAAAATACGCATGCACCAAGCTTTACAAATGGCCATACCATCTCTGGGCCAACTCATATGCTTAAGAGCAAGGGTGAAAGAATGGTCTTGAAAGAGGATAAATGTATCCAGTCGTACGGAAAATGGAAAACTAAATCTAAAAGAACTCAGAAATTTGATTTCCGAGAAACTCCAGAAAGAGATGAAGGAAGCCGCAGTGAATGTAGTTCTGTGAACGGAAGCCTTGATTGCGGTGATACACCTTTCTTGTATCCTGAACAAAAAGCCAGTGCTAATGCGCACACACAAACTGCACACTGTGAGGAGTTTCCTCACATGAGGTCATTTTCTCCTGTAGATGAAAGTGTTAGTTCTTGGAGAGACATTTCTACTGGCAATGGCAAGATTCTCAGCACAAAAAGCAGCGTTAAAGTTTCCAGTAGAGGCCACCTGACAACTAACCCAGAACATTCTTCATTCCTCAACTCTGACAAATCGAATTCCACTGTCACACAATTCAATATGTTGCAGGATTCAAATGCAGGAAAAGGCTGCAACAAATGCATGGAAAAAAGTGCAGTGGAATCTACAGTCTCTTCAGCAAGATAATGTTTTTGATGTCCCACTTTATAACCTAAACCACAAGCAGCAATTCCTCCTTTGGAGGAGGAAAAAGATAAGGATTTTTTAAAATAAAAGTGTGAGGATTGGGGAAAACCGGTTCTACTGTGTCCATTTTGTGATCAATGTTACATAATTTGAAGAAATGCTATAAAGTTACTTGAAATATTAATGCATACTTTTGTTTACCTTTGTAATAACATTTTGATTTTTATAGTGTATTATATGCAAATTTATTAAATAGAGTCTATTTTTATAGTAAGTTTTGCTTGCAGTGCAGTGTTTATCTAAAACAGAGGTACTGTAACTTGTGGTAGTCTTTTTAAATGGTTATGAAAATTACTTCACAGCTCAATGAGAGATGTTCTAGGATTTAAGTCAGTATTTTAATTGACCTTCCCATTTTGAAGGACCCCCCCTAAGCCTCTGTGTGTGTGTCCTGATAATAAAAGCAACCCTACTTGCATTTTTTCATTATAATAACAAATCACATTTCAAGTATTTTTCCCTCTGGTACAGCAACAAGTAGCTGATACTGGGCAGAAGAAAGGTATAAATTAGAATAATCACATTTGGCAGGTGTTCCTTAAATAGCATCGGTTATCAATGAAGATTCAGCAATGCTTAGAAATTTCTGTTTTTAAAGGCCTGCTCATGTCTTGAAGAGAACTCTAAAATGCATTGTTTTCCTCTAGACTATTTACTTTCCTTGGGATAGCATTTCATTTCTAGTGCTTCTGTGAGGAAGAGGTGGTTTGCTGCTTGTTTATGCAGGATATGATTAAATCATACCTGTTGCAATTAAAAGTCTGGTTATGGGCCAGCAGTTCACATCAGCAGTAATACAGAAGATGTAAGCAAAAAGGTTTTGCTTGCTATTCTTTGATGATAGAAGAAGAAAAAAGACTGAATATTCTCTCTGATGATGTATATACCTCTCATACGTAATATTTAACTGCCATAAGGATACTCATTTGGTCTTTGAGTTGAACAGCACAGTTTCATCTGAGAATCTTTTGGGTTTTAAGAGGAAAATAGTACAAGATTCAAGAGAAAGCTTCTGAAGAAAAATGTGTTTAACTTCCTTTACAGAAACATCCTGCATGTTTATATCTCAGGCCAACTGGCAAGGCAGAATGCATTACAGCTCTTGGTACGCAGGACTGGTTTGTGACTTGAGACTCTTGGGCGAGCTAATGAGAGACTTCTGAATTTCTTGGTGGCCTTTAAAGTTGCCCATAAATCCAACCCCGTTTCCTCTTTAGTGAAGGTGGGGTTTGTCATCGTCAGTGGGAGCAAACCAAACCATGAGAGACTGCTTGTGCCTAAACAAACATGGGCAGTGGTTAAGTTCAAGGGCCAAATTCCGAGCTCTTAGCTGAGGAAATAGCTGTGGCCTTGTCTGCAGAGGAAAGTTTTTACTAGTTGTCCTCTAAGCCCCACGTGGAGATATTTTTTTCAATGATGAGTGGCTTTTTTGGGTTAGCTTAAGCATTTTTCCCCAAATTGCACAAGGTAAAGAAGCAGCACATTTATTCCTGCATGACAGGTACTTGTACAAGTGTTTAAACCAATACACCACATTAATTCACTCCTTGGGCAAGTCCAGAAACCTTACCCAGATGAAGAAAGCTTGCGTCTGTAAAACTAAACATCCAACTCCTCAGTGTGGACCAAACCTACTTTTCCAAGTAATCCTTCATCTGTGGTGTGGTCAAGAGCTGCTCTGTAGTTGCTCCCCAAAAAGCCACACTCTGTGCCACTGTGCAGAACACTTTGTGATTTCTGTCATCTTGTTCAATGTTGTTTGTGTGCAGAACTGACTGTCAGTTCTCTAGCTTTAAGAAAATTTCCTGTGTTTGAAAGCTGAGTGGTTTTAGTGCATATGAAGTGCTTTAATAACTCTAGTCCTGCTAAAGCTTTGAACAGCTGATGATTTTTATGTATTTAATTTAGAAGCTGGGGTTCCACAGTGATGAGAAGGGATCTTCCTCTTTACTGACTGCTCTGAAGAAAGCCAAGGGTGCAGCAGATCCCAGCTACAGTGAGGAAACGAGGGAGTTTTCTTCAGCAGCTCCATAACCTGATGTGAGCAAAGGTTCTCTTGTGAGGGTTCCTACTCTTATAGAGCAGGAAGATGTTATGCATATGTGGCAAAAGAGGGAGGAAGGGGGAAATCTTTCCAATCCCAGCTACTAAAAGGGAGAGTATTTAAATATAGACATTAGGTGCCCAACTACATTTGGTTGCTATTTCAGTTGTATCTTACTGCATCACCACACCAGGGAACTTCAGTGACTAAAACTGCAGTGCATGTGAGAAGGTGGATGTGGGTAGAGGTTCAGTTAAATTGTTGCTCGCCTAACGTTTATTGTGTGTCTTGTTGCACTGACAACTCCAGAGAGCTCCAGACCTGCCAAGTTTTCCTTAATGAGAATCTACTGCAGAAGCCTGGAGGAAAGATCCATACCCAAACAGCAGCAATTATTCCCTGGTGAGTAAAGTCTGAGGAACAAGAAGATATTTAGCCCAAGAATTAACAATTACTCAAAAGCATTCCTTAGCCCTCTTTCCAACGTCAGCAGGAAAAAATGAAGCAATAACAGGCTAGCATAAGGGGTGGCAACTCCTGAAATTGGACAGCTGACATCAGTCGGAAAGGGGGATGTAGTGTTGCAATATATGTAGTTGGACTTGCATAGTTGAGCCAGTATTGTAACAGAGCCACTAGATGAGTCTCTTGCAGTAAATTTGCCGTGGTTTTTCACCCACTAGGTTATACTGCTGAAAGAACTTACGTGTTTTAGTCAAGAATTCATTACCTGCTCTCATGTCTTTTTGATTCAGGTAATTGCCTGCTTTAATACTGCATTTATGCTGTAGGAGCCAGATCTAATTTCATGCTAGTGATGTTGCAGATTAGCTTAAACATTGTTTAACCACACCCCAGGTCCATCCTCAAAGTAGCAGAATGCAGCAGTATTCTTTCCTTGATGTATCTTTATTTGCTTCAGCTGATTTATTTATGTCTGTACATTCCTCTTCGTGAAAATGTGTCAGTACTTTGTACTAAAATATGATAGAACAACTTTTGAATTACTTTTTAATGCTATATTTAAATGGTAATTTTAAGAACATCTTTTATAAACATGTTATGTACAATTAGCTTTATGTGTGACGTACAGAACAGGAATGCGCATGATTTAAGTCATGCATGTTTTGAGCAATGAATATGTTAACTGTTGGTTAACAGATGCTAATGTTTTAGCTTCTCTCTTCGGTGGCATCTTTCAGCTGGAAAGAGCAGCACCTGTATCTATTAATGAAGAAAATTAAGAAGAGGTCTTACATAAACTGATTTTTCACATTCTTTATTTCTGGTAAACATATGCACATCTGAAACCTTGTCTCGTATCACAGCAACTTGCTGTGCACATGAACAGTTACATGAGTAGGAACTGAGGCCATAGGGGTTAGTTGGCTTGTTCACACAGTTAGGAAGCCTGAATGGGGAATTAAACCCGGGTTTTTCTAGTACTTTTGAGCTTACTGTTGATTTAAGAGGTGGGTGTGGATCTCCCCATCCTCTTCAGCTGGTAGGAAATTGGTTCATTTGTATGTATCAGTCTGAGATACTGTTTTTTCTTGTGTTATCTGGTTCATCATGTTATATGATACTAATGAATTAGAATTTACATATCATCATAGGTCTTTTACAGGTCTTTTCCACCTTTACCTTTCTAAGAAAGTCACACAGTCTGTTTTCCTCCTGCAAGGCAGAATCACCAGTGCTGATGTTAGTCCTAGTGAATGTTTGTCCAATGTGTTCTGAAAGGTCCAATAAACAGAGGCTCTACAACTGCCAAGACAAATCCATTGCAGTATTATCCTTACTGATGGAAGGCTGCTTCCCCATTCCCTTTATGTCTTACCTGAACTCTTCTGCTGCAACTTAAGCTCATTACTGCTTCTCCAGTGTACCAAGGACATGAAATAGGGATTTCTTTTATGTCATGCTTAAAAATTACTATTCTCCTCTTCAGTTTTCTTTTGCTTAGGTAAAACCATTGCTTTCATTCTTTTTTCCATGCATCAGCTTTTAAGATGCATAGGTCTCCTGTGGCGTGCAAATGTGGAACTAGTCCAAAGGACACCAAATGATAAATGGAAAAAATTTAGATCCAACACTCATGGTCCTACTATGCTTGATCATTTCCAGACTGGTTCAACCGGTTGTCCATTCTTCTGCACAACTACTAGAGTCTTTGCAAAACACCCTATCTGTTGTTGTAAAAGCCTTTCAAGACTGATGTGATTAAATCCAGCTTCCGTAAGCATAATCTGTGGAGATGCAGCTAAGGAGAGCTCTGGCTTGCTTACCAGACTTTCCTTAACGCCTTTGGAATGTTATATCTTATTATCCCCTTACCTCTTACTTTACTTTGTAGTTGGTACTGTCCAGTGAAGTTTGGAGATCTACTTACCACCGTATAGTGTCCCTTTTCCCATAAAATCTCAAGCTGGGTATGCTTCCCAGAAGTATTAAGATACACAGTGGCATATATATATTTCAGTCATTTGTCCTTAAAATTTACTGTCAAAGCCATTCTTCTGCTGTTGGAACTGTGTTCTCATGTTTCCCTTTGTTCTGTGGGAGTTGCTAAGATTTCCCATTGAAATTTATTTTAAATGTTTGCTCTTTTGTGCAGATTCACTGCACAGTCTTGTCTCCCACAGTGTTAGATGGGTTACAATGGAGATGATGGTAACCTGGCAGTGATACAGGAGCACATTACTTGCAGCTGTAGTGAGATTTCACCCAGCATTCTGATGCAGAGTACTTCACACTTCCAAATTTATCATGCTTTTCTCTCTGTTCTTGTTGCTTGGGTAAGTATTTCACTGTTGTGTAAACCTGGGCAGTGATCTATGTGAGAACCAGGGTTCTTATTCTCCTTCCTCTTGTACATACTTACCTACCAAGCAAGCTTTTAAGCCTGGTGCATTTTTCACACTTGATAAAATGAGTCTGTTTCCATCATGTAGTGTTGTTTCTTTATAAATCTCAATACAAGTAAAGAAATTCATGTCTATTGCCAAATGTTCTGGCTGAATGCCACCCCTGGTGTTCTGGCTTCATCCAGATGATGAATGTTCCCTGTCAGCCTGCAGCCTAGTGAGAGGGGACAATGGTACAGAAATACTGTAATTATCTAATCAACTTTGCTTAGAATGTTAAGCAAATGCAATTCTTTAATACTCTGGTTTTACTATAGCTGTTAATTAACATGTGCAAATATAATTTGTATAGCAAAACCAAGTAGAAGAAACATTCACTTTTAAGTTACTTTACTCCCCTCTAGTGGTCTTATGCCATATGTACTTTTATATAACACTTTATCACAATAGATTAATATTTATAAATTTATAAATAGTTAATATTCTGTAAAAAATAAAAACAGTTCTACCTCTCCTTCCTTCTTCCTTTCTTTGTATAGAGAAACCTGTTCAGTGACTGGGACTCTTGCCAATCTAACTCTCTAAACAATGCTGGTTTTTATGTATTGGCTTTAACTGAGGGCCACACTGCACCTACAGCTTTAAAGTCAGTATGTACAGGAAAATCTTAAAGCTGTGTAGTAAGCTTCTGTTTCCTGCGCCCTCAAATCTGTTCATGAGGGGTGTTACTGTCAATGTCATGGTGACTCAAACTGCGGCCAAGGCTGCAGAAACATCAGCAGTACTCGGTCACGTCTGTAGTGCTGCTCTATGTTTGTGCTGTGGGACATGCCAGTTTTGGTGCATGTCTAGCGCTGCCTGGGCCTGTGCAAGTTGTGGGACATATGGAGACTGTCGAATGACTGGGTTCCTCCTTTAAGCTTGCCAGTTGGCCATTTTGTGTAGGATGTGGCTTCCACTAGCTGGAAAATACATGAGAACCTACAGGATCAGAATGGAAACTTCTACTTTTCCAGTAATCCCCTGGTTCTTTGCTGAAGTTGCTGATGTTGTAATCAGTGCTATACAGGTGTGCAGCACAGGCTTAATTTAGCAATAGTTAGTGGATAAGTGCTCATCTAAATTTTATTTTGCTTCTGTATTTTAAAGGTATGGAAATGACTTGCTAATACAGTGTCCTTGGAGAAGATGAGGTATCTCATAAGGTGCTTGTCTCTTCTTTTTCTGCTCAGAGAGATTATATTAAGGAAAATGTATTTAGAGGATTCAGTTTTCAGTAGCTAGCTCCTCTTTTCAAACTATTCCCTTGTAACTTTTCCATTTTCTTCTAGAATGTCTTGGACTAATGTTTGGAAGAAAAGAAAGGGGAGTAAAAGGGATCAATAAAGAAAATGTTGACAATTTTCCATTTGAAAATACAGTTCTCTTAAAATAGTTCACAAAATTGTGTTTGTCTTCATATTCAGTTATGGAAGAAAAATGAAAGCGTTCCAAGAATCAAAACATTTTAACACTATTTGAGTGAAACCTTTTGTTTTAAAGTGAGTCTTCGTTTGTAAACTTTTGCGACTCTAAAAAGTCAAAATTGAAATGAAACAGTTTAGGAGATCCAAACCTGGCCTTTTTTCCGCATGATTTTTTCTTTTGTGGAAAACTGAAGTATCTCAGTTTCCAAGCTGGAAGGAAACCAAATGTGAAAAGTAAAATCCTTCATAAAACGTAACTCCTGTCTTCCTGCTGTACTCTTATGAGAGATTATTTGCCGGTGTCAGTGATGCATGTTATAATAACCAATAGCTGGGGAAACTATTTGCTACGCTTCTCAAGATTGTTCCCTTTAGGTCATTAGCAGATAGTTCTAATAAACATGAGCTAAGCCAGTAGAGGCTTTGACTCTATTTATCACTGCGGATGTCTGAGCAGTCCCTGTGGGAAGTTGTGACCAATTCATCAGCCAGGGAGTTTAACTTGTTCTTAACTCTTCTCTCGAGCAGCAGTGTCAACAGTCCAACTAAATCAAAATCATTCATGTGTACTTATATAGGAAGCGTGTAAGATACATAATGTTGAAATAAAATTGTGTGCAGCTGTAAGAAGCGCACAAGGAGGCAGCTGATGCAGAAGTTTCTTTACTCAAACAAGCTGGCAGGGCCTGCTTTTGGGAATGCATGTGCCTGGGTAGGGAAGGATCCGCTGCTGCTTGGGGCATGCTACCTGACATTGGGCAATTCTGTAGGCAGGCCTGTCCGAGCAATGCTGTTCCAGCACTGCAGTGAGGGCACTGCCTCCCCCACCTTGTCCCTTATAATTATTCTCATCCCTTTTTGTGGTTCCAGAAGACTGAAACTTGACAAGGAAATCAGAACTTAAAAATGCAAGTGATCATGTAAAAAAGCTGTAAGGTCTGGTTATGGTGAATGAAGTCCTGGAGTCATCCTAGAGACGGACAACTTAATGCAAATGTTTCTGCCTTGCTGTCAGAGCGTCTTTCCACCACTGCTACTGTTTGCCTAGACCTGGTGTCGAATGGCATTGTCTAATTGGAGCTTGCTTTCTGTGCTTTTAGTATAGTGCAATAGGGCCACAGCCTCACTTGGGGTTTCTGAGAGCTTCTGGAGTATGAGCAACCTCATAAATTAAATCACCACACTGTCTGCTGAATGCTTTCTTGCAGAAGTGCTGGCAACTGTGGAACATATTTTGCTGATCATCTGAGGAACAGCAACTTCTACACCTGGCAGCTGTCAGACAGCATTTTCTTGAAGCAGGGCTGTCTGCTGATAGCTCAGGAGTAGGGCTGAGCAGTGCAGCCTTGGGTAGGTTTATCGCTGGGATTTGCAGATTAACACACTTTTGTACTTCCCAGCATCTTCCCTGGCTACATCCCACTTTCATTCTACATAAGTGGAAGAAGTTCCTCAGACTTTCTTTCTACTCTGGTCCTTCAATCACAGTTAACAGAATACAGAATTTAGTTCCATATGTGTTAGAAAAGCTCTCTTCTCCAGGGATTTGATTAAGCACAGGGCTAACCTTTCCCATATTATGGGTTTAGCCAGTGGCATAAATGATAATGTTTGGCTTTTTTTATATATGTTTAATCCCCCTCTCCCCTTTTCCTTTTTTCCTTGCAGATGCTATTATACAGGTTTTGACTGCAGGAAGAGGTAGGACAGCTTGTGAAACAAACCTGTCAAAGTGAGGTAAGTAGCTACCAGGGTTCCTTCAGTCAGCTTACCTTTAAAATGCAGTTTATGATACCACTGGTGGGGAGGGGGAAAAGTGGAAAAGGCTAATAAGATTTCAAATACTGAGATGCCCTCAAAAAGCAACATTTTCTAGGATTCCATGGGGAATGACCATTGCCCGCACGTGCATATCAGTGACATGCTGAACTGATACAATAGCGCAGTTGTTCTTATGACACATTTAGCTCTGAATTTGTCAGTGTTGAGCATGTGTATTAGAGCATGATACATATGCGAATTCTAAAAACTTTTTTACAAGTTGGAGTAAATTCAAAAAGCAATAATTCCTTGTTTTACACAACGCTGCCAAGAATTCTCTTTGTATTTTCATTGTGCAGGACTGAATATTTAGTCAGCAACACTGCACGGACTTGTTGCTGTTCTGCTGTTTGTGACAAAAACTCAGGCAGGTAAATAGCCTTGTGTATGGACCAGAGAATGGAGAGGACCACATATTTTGAAAAGGAGGAAAGACATGTTTGCCAATTGTGTAGAAGTAATTGTTTCTGGTTCTCCATAATGCATTAGAATTCAAGTAATATTCTATTTTCAGAAACTTCACTGCTCTAACTTAGCTTGACTGATGGAACAGTGTTCACCACAGTGAAGTCAGGGCATGCTCTCAAGTCCACTGAAATAAGTGGAAGGGAAAAAAGTTATCTCAAGTCTTTGGACTAGGTTTGTAATGCCAAAGGAAGCTTCTCCAGATCACTGCAGTGCAGGGAAGCTCTGTTTTCCCAATAGTTTATCATAAAATGTGTCCAGACTGGAGCCTCTGGAAGACTTCCTTATCTTGAAAAGGCAGCATGAATCTTATTTACATCGCCCGCTGTTTCATCCATGAAATTAGACTTCCTTCCTTTTACTGATGAACAGGAGTGGGAAAAGTCAGCCTTACTATATATCCAAATTTCTATAGACAGATAGATATAGATGTCTTTTTTTCCCAAGCGTCTCCTGCCCATGAGTATTTTTCCTTGGCTCTCCCTTGCGGGTGTCAGATGACATTTCCTCTGCTGACTGTGTGCCTGTTCGACCTCTGCTCTTATTCGTCTCCAGTTATGTGGTATTATTTTTGGTCTTGAAGGGAGTTCACAAAGCTAAAACCAGTGCTCAACATTTTCATTTAAGCTTTGTGAAGTGTCAAAACCTGCCCCTTTAAAAAAGAAATGCAGCAAGGCAATCTCTTCTGAACTCCACCCCATTCATCACAGTAATAGCAATTTTGGGTGGATCTGGTGTTGATAACTTGCAAACCATTAGGGATGTTTTAGAGGCAGTATTAAGGAAAAAAAGCTTTAAAGGTTATTATTTTTTTCAGTGCTAGAATTGCTTCCCCCATTTAAATCTTAATCTGATTAATCTGTACTGGAAACACTGGTAAAAGTTACATTTCTCACATTTCAAGTGTTCTACATTATAAATTACCATTATATCTTAATTCTCTTTGTAGGGAAGAAAAAAAGGGTTTCCAAAAACCCCAAACCACAAAAATATACAGAGCTTTCTTCCTGACCCTTCTCATTCCCACTTTGAGCCACAGTATTTGGAATCTATTGCTACTTCCTACTCAAATAGCTTCCTTAACTTCATTTGGTTACTTGTAAAATGAATATGTGTTTGAATTAGCTATAGTTGTTATTTCCTGTTTTCTTATAAAGAAAGGCAATGTGATTATTTGCATTATACATATGCTTTATAACTATCTGTTTTAGGACGCAATCAGCTTGCTGTGGGTTAAGCCAATACAGAAATGAGAAAGGGCTAATTATGAAACAAAATTAAAGTTAATGGGAAGTTTCCTACTGACTTTTGTGGGCTGAATATACCCAAATAACAATACTGGAAGTGCAAGATGTAATATAGAAAGATAAATGCATTATTAAATGGATCATGTTCTATCCAGCGTGGTGTATAAAAGACCTTGCATCTGATGGCCATTTAGAGGCAAGATGACTGGCTGCTGAAACTTACTTATGAACCTGATAAAGCAACGCCCCAGTGATTCTCATAAGTAAATTCTAATGCTTTCAACAGATGGGGTGGGGGAATCCCAAATGATTTTATACCCGGTAAGAAATTGCAGACTTTAGATGAGGTTGTCTCAATTTACTGGTATCTAGAAAACCTGAGGAAATGAAGTCAGCCTTTGGAAAGTTACTAATAAAGGAAAGTGCAGAGCAGAGCCGTACTGAACTATTCACTGGCTGGAGACTCACTACTACCATTTCTGAGTCAGCTGCGTGCCCTTGCAGTGAGGGTGGCCAACTGCATATGGGGCTGTATTAGTGGCAGTGTAACCAGGCAGTGGAGGGAAGCTGTTCTTCCCCTCCTTTGGTACTTGAAAAACTGTATCTGCAGTACTATATGCAGCTCTGGGCACCAACATACAAGAACAGAATTCAACCAAAACAAAAACCCCACTCCTAAACCCCAAAAGCATTGACATCTACAGCAAGACTGGCAGAGAGCCCCTGGGATGGTTAGGGGCTACAGCAATGCTTTCTGAGAAGAGGGTTCATTCAAACTTAGGAAGCAAAGGCTAAGGAGGATCTTACTGCTGCCTTCAGGGTATAGAGGAGGTAGAGGCTGCCTCTCCTGGATAGTGAGCAGTGGTAGGATGAGAGGCACTGGCACAAATTCTAAGAAGGAAAATTCCTACTAAGTATTAAGCAAAAATAATCACAATGAGGGTTGTAAAACAGTGGAATAGGTTAGTCCAGAAAAGTGGAATGTTCATTCTTGGAGATACTCAGAACTCAGCTGGATAGGACCTGAACAGCCTACTCTTAAGTTGGTCCTGCTCTGAGCAGGGGACTGGACCAAATAACCTCTACAAGTCCCTTCTGACCTAAATTCATCACTGATTCTATGACAGCCGTATGCAATGCTCTCATAGTGTTATTTCTCAAAGGAAAGGCCTTGCAAATGGAATGTGGTGGGTTCAGAGTCTAATCCCTGGTCTCTTTTTATCTTTTTTATTATTTCAACTGCATCATGGGGCAACTCCCGATCAACTGAGACATCTCATAGCCAGAGGAACACTGGGATGGAAAACAGAGGCAGAGACACCCAATCCCTTGCTGACACAGTGTTTGAAGGAATGTAGGGCCTGATTCAGCTCTCTTTGTTAGAGTCAGTAGGGAGTTCTGCATAAATGAGAGCTACAAGAAGAGGCTCCTAGTTACTGATTTCCACCCACTTGGAATGTATTAATTCTAATAAAAAGCTGTATCTCTTTTGCTTAGTATCTTAGCCTGAAAATTCACCCAGCAGCTGGCATTTCATGCTAAGCCTTGAAATTTGTTTCACTTTGCTTCTGAGTTTACAGGTGGGATTTAAGAGGTCATCTGGGACAAATGTAAGACTGAGGAAACTCAGTTTGCAACTGTTACTCTGGCAAGATTCCCATTGAATTTGACAGGGTTATAGCTGACAGAACGTAGTAGTATATGTATTTCCCTTTCTTGCACTAAGGCTAGATTAATTTTTTCTTTTTAAATCAAAGAAGCAAGTGCTATTGTTAAACTTTAGGTTTTCCACCTGTATGCACATAATTAAATATATCAACCTATGTATCGTGATAGACTGGGATTAACAACAAAAAATCCATTCCAGTGTATTTTAGTTGTATTTCTGTTCAACACTAGCCTTACAAAAATCAGTTGTGCTTCCCCTTCCTGGAGGACAGAAGTCATAGGATTTCTTCTGCTTAAGTTTTCTTTAGGACCCCCATGGAAAAACTGTTAATGTAATCTCATGTCTTTAGTAAATTGAGATATAATACAACAGTTTTACCCTTACAAGCTAAGGATTGATTTAAAATGTGACTTAGTTTTAGAAACCAGCTATGAATATGGTACTTCCCTAAAAATAGTACTGAGGGTATCTGAATTAGGGCATCTCTTGAATGGCCTTGTGCTTTGTCACCGATACTGAAGAATCCAGGTGTTTTAGAGGAGCAAGAACATCTGTTTTATTCTGATCTTAGAAAGGACAAATGAATTATTGTTTGACTTCTACAGCTTTTGGTGGGCTGATACCAAATTCACCTTGTTCTTGTAAATAAAGGAATTGCTTTGTTTAAAACAACACAAGTTCTGTGCCTAAACTATTCCATGCAGGCGTAAACAGGACAGATGTGTTATGAATGTGTATAAAATGTAATAGGTTTATGGTCACCTAGGATACAACTGAGATAAAATACAGGAATTTCCCCAGAAGCACATAGGCCACTAATTGTCTGAGCCAAGAGAGACTTTTTAATTCTTATAATATTATAGAAACATCACGCCACCACTTTGCGCAGTATCACAAATGATGGAGTTATATGCTCATGTAGGTTGGATTTCCTCCTTCATCATTATAAGCTCAGCTGACAGATGAAAACATCAAATAAAACAATTTGTAAAAATGAAGTAAATGTCTTCAGTGAAGTTTGTCCCCTAAAAGCTATTGTTTATGGATTTCATAGCTAGGTATCAGCTTGTCTGGCCAACCAACATTAATAAAAATGGGTGATAGCTTGTTTTATTTTCTATTTTTTATTTTTTTTTAGATTTCAACCAATTAATTGGTTGTCTGGCTATAATTACTGTTTGTGCTTTTTATTTACTTAAGAAAATACACGCACTAAAACTTTCCCACACTATTTGTTTTCATTGGCGTAATCAAGGCTTTCTTAATAAAGAAATATGGAAGATGGACATACTTATTTTTGCTTACTTGGGTTGGAGTAAATTTGCAGATCAAAAAATGCAATTAGTGAAAAAGTTCATAAAAATGGAAGTTAATGGAACTTCCAACTCCATCACAGTACCTCCAGGGATAATATTTCGGGGTTTGTTTGCAACGGTTCAAAGCAATTTGTCTAAACTGTGAAAATTCTGATAAGTGTCCTACAGGAGAAGAGGGAGGAATGTTTGCAGAAGATGAAAAGGACCAGCTTGGTAAAGGCCAGCAAGGAGGGAGACCAGTACTTCACATCACTGCTGCTGAACACAAAGATCATCAGCTCTGCAAACTTCAGCTCAATGGTTTTATGGGAATTGAAGAGCAGGACAAAGAGGTATTTCTCTGACAATCAGTTACAGTTTAATAATTTAACGACTTGCATAAAATGATTTGTGTACCTGATGTTGATAAGCACAGAGAGGTGCACTAAGACATAGCTAGCAAGGAGAATTTATTTTACCAGAGAAATGTACTGGGCTTGATATAAAGTGTGTGTATGTGGTTATGTAAATGTTTAGGATCACGGCTTCCAAGTTCATACCTAACTGCAAAAGGTGGTTCATGTTTTATCTGTCATTCCCTGATAAGAGGAAACTACCTATAAGTATCCTCCCCTAATTTTTGGGCCCTGCCACCACAATCTATGCCATCTACATGCTCCAAGATACAGCTATAAGATCCTCAGTATCATCTGGTGAATCAGAATCAGAATTGTGGAAAAATTGTGGCTTAAGTGTTACAGCAAATTCCGCTATGCATGTAGCAGTGATGTTGTATGCCGTGTTCCTGGTGTCGTTTATTTCTGGGTGTGATTCCAGGGTTTGATGAAGGAGCTAAAATGCCAATGAGCTTCTGGATCTCAGTTAATCTGAGAGCTCATCTTTGTGTTTGTCATGGGAGATGGTGATCAACTGGGTCATCGAAATTGCTTCTTTGGGTTTTTTCTTCCCTTCAGTGAAACTTCTGAGTGGATGACAAGTGTTTTGAAGGCCATATAGGAATCTGTTTGTCCAGATGTTCTTCAGAGTCCAGATGTTTGTAAAGTCTCAAGTGGCTGTGGGAAAGCATGTGGATGACCCTTATTAGTAGCTCTGTTCAGCAGCAGAGAGCAAAAGTTGTTTTAAGTCTTTTGCTTGTGACAGTGTATTCTTCTAGTGGTTTGAGAGCCCAGGTGGGTGCTATTTTAAAGTTGTCAACAATTTAAGTACTTCTAATATATAAACATATACTTTAAACTGGAACAGCAGAAGTTGATGATGTGCTACATATTTCACTAGCTTAATTAACGGACAGCCCACATACCATGTAACATTATTTCATATAGTGTAATCCGTATTTCTGCAACCATGCAAGATATCAAATAATATGTCATAAAATGTCCTAAAAGATATGAGAGAATCATCCCATTAACCTGTGACATAGACTGGATATTTTTCTGGTAGCTCATCCAGAAAACTAAAGCGGTTGAAACAGAAACTGTCGACACTAAAAGAATGTTTGAGTAAATAGTAACGCAGAATTCCTTTCGTAACTCGCTTTTGTTTACTGCTAAATTCTATCTTCACATCATAAACATAATTAATTAGTAAACATCCAACAGCATTTTTTTTGCAGTGGCTTGGTTTGAACATATTTACCTTCTACATTTACTAAATAAATGTTTAGATTTTGCTGTACATATAGGTAAGAGTGAAGGAAGAGAATTGTATATCAATGTACAGCATGTCTGAGATTTCTTAATAGCAGGGGCAGTTGCTACCACCTTTATCCTGGTCTCTTTTAGTTTCTGAGCAATTTTAATTTGCCACTGCAAAAGAAATACAAAATCCTTTGTCCAGTGCTAGGTTTTCTCTTCAACAAGCATAAGCAGAGAAAAAATAGTTCCTATCTGTGGTAGACAAACAAGAAAAACTGAAAAATCAAACTACTCCTTTCTTGTGCCAGTATCTCATAGTATTTCACTGTACATCTATGTTTCACCTGTATATTAAGTGTCTGTCTGGAAGTTTTCAGATTAAATTCTTGAATGGTGCCATTGGAATGGTCAAATGGACTGTTTTGTAATTTGCAGAATCCACCACTTTGCTTGATGATAAAAATCAGCCAAAATTATTACACTGCTGTTACTGTGCTGATCACACACAAATACAGCATCTCCTGTACTAGTTTAAATACTTCTATGTACCTTTAGAAGGATAATGCATATTTACACACAATATAAAAATTACTGTAATTGATTTAACTATGTATTTCAAGTAGCATCTGTCACATTTTGTGTCAATGTTACATTTCAGCTGTAAACACAGATTGGTACTAGGAAATCTTACATGGTGCTTCCTTTTTTTTCCCCTCATACTGAGTTAGTGGTTCACATTACACCATGCATTTATCTTTGGGCAAGGTGGTTTGGAAGCTGCTGTGCATGGGTGGTCAGCTGCCTGCTCATAAAACTGTGCAGCTGAATTCAATAACACAGTCCCCTTCACTATCAGAACCTGCCTGAAAGTAACAGAAATGAGAATACCTGCACATTAGGAAATCCAGCATTTCTGCCAAAATATTTGTAAGTGAGGAGCAGCAGAATGCATTTCTCTTTTCAGTTTAATAGGCTTTTTTGGTTTTGTACTCTCTGTGTATGTTGAAATGGGATAATCCTAGTACAGAGCTACTTGCCTGGAGTATATACTCTCTGTTTGATTTCCAATTACTGACTGTCTTCTCCTCACCCCAAATTATTCAAGTATAAAACTTCCTACCTTTCAAGGGGTGGGATAGCAATTTGCTCTTCAGGATTTCCAAATCATTCCAAAAGCATAAGTAAAAACTGCAGGGCTTTTTTTTTTCTTGTTTTCCTTACTAAGAAAGAGGCATGCATTTGTTCTGGAGCTGGCTGTAGGGATTTAGAAGTAGGTACGGAACAGCTCAGTGCCTTGGTGTCTGCGCCATACTAGTTCCTAGAAAGTGTATTCTTCATCCTGCAGCAGCCTCTAAGGTAAAGCCAACATCGATGCTGTTTCTCCTTATAAGGGAAACGGATACTATTCTGATTTTTATTTAAGCCGTTATCTAGATGCGAAATGCTGCACCTCTAGGGCTTGTGTATATACGTATTTAGACGGAGGCATAGGAGTCCACCTCCCTCAGCTCCCCGCCGGTCCTGTGTTACGCGCTTACTCCGCTGCTCAGTCCACAGCGCTACCGCTTCTGCCTCCGCGGGCGCCGGGAACCCGCGGGGCGCCCGAGCAGGCGCGGCTGCCCGGCCGCAGCGTTCCCCTCACCCCCGGGCAGGAGCGCGGCTCCCTGCGTGCCCCTCGGGCAGCGCATCCCTGCCCGACCACAGGTGACCCGCTGCGGGGCTCACAGGGCCCTCCCGCCGCATCCGCCTCGCGGGCACGGCTCGGACCCCCAGGACGGCGGGTCGGGGGTGGGGGGAACGTTTTTATTCACCTCTCTCTCGCGAGAAAGTGCTGCATGGGCGATACTTGAAGAGGAGGGGGGGGAGAGAGGAGGGGAAAAAGGAGGAGGAGAAGGAGGGAGGGAGGGGGCAGCTGGAGCCGCAGCTGGAGTAGCGGTGGGTGCAGCGGCCGCAGCTGGAACAGCAGCGGGAACGGCAGCCGGCGGCGGCGGCTCCAGCGGGTGCGCGCCCCTCGCAGCGGGCTTCACCGGGGCGGGCGGGCTGGGCTCGGGGCTCCCTGCCCGCGGCGCGCCCCGGCTGGGCGCTGCGCTCCTGCAGCCGCTGCTCGCAGCGGTGCCCGGCTCGGGGAGCCGGGGAGGGCTCATGCCCGGGAGGTGCTTCCAGTCCCGGAGCGGCTCCGGGAGCGGTGACGGCTGCCGCGGGCTGCCCGCTGCGGGAGCGGGAGTCCCCGCGGATGCTGTTGGAGGGAAGGTAGAGTCCGCGCGGCTCCGGGCAGCCCCTCGCCATCTCCCGCGGCCGCCGCCTCCCGCCGGCCGGGCTAGCGCCGGGCTGGCCGGGGGCCGACGGCGCCGGGGCGCGGGGGCAGGCGCCGGGGGGCGCGGAGCGGCCGCGCCCGCTTTTTCTCGGTCCCTAACTCCCCCCCTTTCTTCCCTTTTATCCCCTTGCAGCTCGCCTTGGAGAGGCTGGTCGGAGACAGGGCGGCGGGGACCGGCGCACTTCGGCGGCGGAGAGGAGGCGGCGGCCGGTCGCAGCCCGAGGACTCGGGGGACGCGATGTGGCGGGGTCGCCTGCTGGGGATCGCCCTGGGAGTTGCCGTGCTGTGGATGTCCCAGGCGGGCGCCGCCGCCGCCGGGCACGCCGAGGGGGTGAGCAGCGCCAAGGAGAGCAGGGCCAGCCGGGCCAAGAGGCGAGGGCAGGGCGGCGGCGGGCACGACGCGCTCAAAGGGTAAGTGCGGGGCCGGCCCTCCCGGGGTGCGCGGTGCGGGGAGCCGCGTAGAGCTGTATGTGTGTGTGTCCGTGCGTCCATGTCCACCGCCCCTTTGCGGTGGGACCTGGCGGGGGAGAGCTCCCCGATCCCCCGTTGGGGCTGCCCCTGCCGAGGGACAGGGTGAGTTGGGGGCGCCGGCGCTGCCCACAGCATCCCGCGGGGCTGGGTCCCCTGCGTGCTGCAGCCTTACTTCGCCTTTGGCGGGTGATGCTTGGAGAGGATAAGCCGCTGCAGCTCGGAGGTTGCAAATTTAGTTTCTAGGAAGGCCGTAGCTAAAGGCACACTGCGGGCGTGTGCATTCCTCCCGCGTCCCGTACTTCTGCTTTGCATAAAGCAGAATAGCGATGAGGCCCGGAGACCGCAGCGTGCCCTTTCCATTAGCTGCCCTCTTCCATCACCACTTTAAACTTTTTGAGATGTGCATCTTTCCTGCACTCAAGCGGACCGACTTTGCTTATTTGGTGTTGCTTGTGACCTGGGGAAATCAGAGGGGAAGAAGAAGGACCTTTTTTTTTTTTGTATCAGAGCTATCTACAGGCATATAAAAGTTTAAAATCATTATGACACGTTGTATGTACTTAGTAAATTGTTTCTTTTTAAAGGGTAAATCTGTATCAGGCGAACTTTTCCCAGTTCTCATGGAACACCTTTCCAATGCAAAAGTATGTTTTTAAGTTGGCTGAAAGACATTGCATGTGTGTGCAGTTGAAAATGTAGTTCTCTGTAAAGGGGAAAAGCTTGCAGTGTTGGCAGAAAAAAGGGGGTTCCTATTTCAGGTGTTCCGATGCACCTTTTCAGCCCATAGCCAGATTTTTCAGTCATCAGGCAGAGGGCAGCTGTAGCAAACATGATATGGAGGTAGTTATCCTTCAGTAAGGGATGCAAGCTATTTTCTTTCTTTTTCTGGTTTCCTCAAAAAGGAGCTGTTATAACTTTATTGTTAGAGGCCTTGGTGTATATGCTTTAGTTTCTTTGTAACTTCCTCATACTTGTATAGTACTTTTTATTTATATTCAGAATTGCAATGTTGGCACTTTCTTATGCTGCCTGATTGGAAAAGGCTGAT